TCCTCCTCCTCCTCAGTTTTTATATCATAATTAGCACCGGCATAGCATGCATAGTGATCAAACTTCCTCCCTTTCCATCTTCTCATTTTCTTTCTCCTCTTTCCTGCCATCTTTTATTTTGCTCTTTATTTATATTTTACATTTAGCCTTATAATATTTAATCCTGTATGTCTGTTTTATTTCACATAACAATTAAAATCTCAAAGTACATCTATTTTCCCATGGGTGACTCGGGTTACCTGGCTTGTACCTGTAGGCATCTGAAGCACAAGGCAGCCAGCATGGACAGCAGCATTTCTAGGACATTGTTAACTCCTCATGCAGCTCCATTGCTTTCCTTACCATGGGATGACTATATAAATCCTGACCACTGGCTCTAGGATGCACTGTCCTTCTGTGGGACTCTTACTTATTAGGAGGTGGCTGCCCCAGCAGCACTGGGTGCACCCTCAGGATGTGGCATAAACACTACCAGTACCAGTGAAGGAAGAAAGAAAATGGAAGGGGGGAAAGAAGAAACAAGGAGGAAAGGAAGGAGAGAAGGAAGGAAGGAAGGTTATTTAAATAAATGAATACATCTAAGAGAGAGAGAGAGAGAGAGAAGAAAAAAGCAAGAGAAAAGTTATGAAAGGAGTATATAAACTGTAGATTTAAAGAAAAAGATTATTTTATTTTATTTTTCCTTTTAAATGCAGATTTTCTATTACAAGCAAGTCTTCCTTCTTTTCTCTGTCTCTCTGTCTCTGTCTCTGTCTCTCTCTGTCTCTCTCTGTCTCTCTCTGTCTCTCTCTGTCTCTCTCTGTCTGTCTGTCTGTCTGTCTGTCTGTCTGTCTGTCTGTCTGTCTCATGGAGCCCAGAATTGAACTCAGGCCCTTGCACTTGACAGGCAAGCGCTTATTCAACTGAGCTATGTCCCCTGCCCAAGTCTTTCATTCCAAGTATGTGAATGGTTCTTTTTTTAAAAGAATAAGCGCTTGCCTGCCAAGTGCTAAAAATATCTTCATTTGGCTGGGGATATAGCTCCGTAGAATAAGCACTTGCCTGGCAAGTGCAAGGGCCTGAGTTCAATCCCCGGTACCGCAAAAAAAAAAAAAAAAAAAAAAAAAGGGCTGGCCAAATAACTCAGCAGATTAAAGCATCTGCTTAGGCAGACATAGGGGCTGGGAGTTTGATGCCCGGGCCTACAGCTGACCTGCCTCTAGGGCTCGCTGAGACTGCCATTGAGATTGGGCATGGTGGCACACGTCTGTAATCTCAGCACTTGGGAGGCTGTAAACACAGATCATTAGGAGTCCGATCTAGTAGTGAGACCCTGAATACCCTGTAGACACTTCCCTTTAAAAAAAATCTTCTTCTGGTTATCTTTAAGAATTAAAAAATAGGACAGCATCTTTTCTGGCTCTGAAGCACTTATAATTTCATTGGACCAAGAATAAGACTCATTTTTTATTTTAAATTTATGTTTAGGTACAGGGTCTCACTCTACAGTGCAGACTTGTAGTGATCCTCCTGTTTCAGCCTCCCCAGCACTGAGATTACAGGCATACACCACCACTTGGTGGCCGCGGTGCCCAAGGCACAGCCCACACAGCATGTACTGGGTCATTCACTTGCCTAGGCAGGCACTTAGAGTACTGAGCTATCTCCGTGGCCTGAACTAGACTCATTTTCACTCACTTCACATCATTTCATTTTACTGATGTTGATTTCTTGTTTGAAAGGTACACACTGCCTTCCTGTAGTATGATTGATTTTAATCATATCACTGTGTAACCATCAAGGATTATCTGATGCTTGCCAGTTTTCCAGAGTAATTGTCAAAAAAAACCCACTGTTGCTTTTTGCCAGCTGTTTTCAGCCCTGTGCATTCGCAGCATGAAGATGCCGAAGCTTGTATATACCTTGATCACTCTCCCTCTGCCCACTCCTGCCTTCTTATTCTGCAGGAATTTATTGAGGGAGGCTAACACAAGCTCTAATCCATGTCCATGAGGGCATTCGCTTTTTGGGATAATGTGACTTAAATAGTCACCTTTGAATGATTTGGATTGGATTTAGGATCATGAGTCACAGGGTCAAAATGGAACTTGCCTTGTTCTCTTGAAATTTTAGGATTTGTGCACTGTTTCTGCCTGCCTCCTCACTCTTTTCAGGCTGAGCTGGCCTCAGAAAGCCAGCTGTGCAAGTCAGCCTGCTGGGAGTAGGTTATGGACAGCTTGCAGCATGCACAGTGCTGTGTGTTGATTTGCTCCTTCTTTCATGTTACAGAGATTTCCTGATCAGTTACATTGGGCCAGGCAAAAATTAGGTCATTCCAGTATTTCACCTTCCAATAAGAAAGTTAGACACAGAGCTAATAATTATGATTTATTATAGCCCATAAAAATAGGTTTTACTATCCCTGCAGCTTACTGGAAAGGCAGGAGCTAACATCAGGTATTGTTATGTGCGGAGTACTTTTAGCTCCATTAATAAGACTTCTTATCTTTTGTGCTCATCACAGCATGTAGGTATGCTTGCTATTGTTATGTCAGTTTTACTAGTGAAGAGGTAGTCTGAGAATGGTGAAGTGTCTTTATCAAGGACTTCTAGTTACTTACCAGTGAGAGAACTACAATTCCAAACTGTCCGCCACTGGAGGCCCCTGGTCAGTCCAGAACCAGACCTGACTCTTCACATACAATTCTCTCATCAATCTGAGAAGCACGTATTGTCAGTCAGTTTGTTATTATTGTCAAGTGTGTTGAGTCACATATAGCTGACAGGCTTTATAGGCCACAAAATAAATTGTATATGTCTCAGGGTACATAAGGTCAAGTGCAAACTTGGGGGTGTCCCCAGCCCATTCTGATTCGTTGGAGGGACTTCACAGATACATAGGCCAACACTGCTCAAACATTGGTCTCCTGGTTCCCTCATCTTGCTCTGTCTTTCCCTATATTTTTGCATATCCACCTGGATTCTTCTGCAACTTCCTTTTTGTCTCGTTTTTCCCATAAGCCTGCTCTTGCCCTGCTGCTACCACAGTCTTTCTAAGACACAGATGTAATCCTTTCACTACTGCTGGCCTTTTAGTTGTCTGTACAATGGTATCTAAACTCC